AGAGGAACCTTGAGGGAAGTCCTTATTCTTTGGAAGGCAGAGGCCCTCTCTGCTTGCTTGCTTGCTTGCTTGCTTACTGATGAAGTGAGTTCTGCATTTTTTTCTCTCAATTAATCCCTCATTGTACTGCCTCACAACCTCTTTTCCCATCAGTCTGGAAGGCTTTGTTAATCAGTCAGGCAGTAGAACTGTCTTCCACTTGTCAAACCGAGTTGTTCTCTTTATTAGTTCTTATCCATGCAATGAGAAGCAGTGTGCAGTAGTGGTTAGAGTATTGAACTAGGAAGTGAGAGACCTGGTTCTGAATCCCCATCTAACCACAATGTTCACTGAGTGACAATAGGTCAGCCACTGCCTCTCAGCAGATAAAAACCAGAGAAGATAATGTATGTCACCCTGAACGTATTGGAGGAAAAGCAGGAGAGATCCTGGTGCTGATGATCTGTTGATGATGTACGTTCACTTACTGTAGCAGCACTACAGATATCATTCCTAGGCGTTTGCAGTTATCTAGTAGCAATTTTATTTTCTCAAAAATGTTTGGCTCCCAGTTTTGTGGCTCCAGGGAAAATGCATTTGGCCTGTCCATGCTGAAGAATGTCTCCTACTTGGAGGTTTCGAAAGGGAGGGATGGGCAACATACTTTGCCTCCTCTTTGTGGGGTTTGTTACACTCTGGTAGTTAGTTGTGCTGGTGGAAAACTCATAGCTCCGAATCCTTCACTTCTCATAGAACAGCACGACACCTTCAAAGCTTCCCTAGCTGCCTGTCTAAGGAAGTCATAAAGAAAGAGCCATGAGGCCGAGAGAAGAAACTTCCTAGAGGCAGGTCTTCCATTGTGTAAGGCATGGGTTCTGTCCCCAACAAGGTGTATCTCGTGGGGCCTATGTTCCTTTGCATTCAGTGAAAAGCAAAAGACTTAAAAGAGATGTCATTACTTCCAAGGTAGGCAATTAGTGGCCATTTGGCTAGGCAGCTTTTGTCTTAAAAAGAGAAAATAGAGGCTGTTCTGTTGTTGCACTGGGAGAAATCATGTTGGGTATACATTGCACTCAATGGGGCTGATATCCTACGGAGCTTCCACTGAGCAGGAAGGAAGTCCTGCCTGTGTTGCAGAGTCTGGGTGTCCTTCTTGAAAGTCATCAATGGCACACATATACAAGCAGTGTGACTTTGAGCTACTATACTGGCCAGACTTTCTGCTCTGTGGAAGACAATCCTAGATGTTAGTATGATACTGACCAGTGTCCTCTTTGAACTGGCAGCAATGGTGAGCCTTGCAAGAGATTTGAACTCTTTTCTGCTCCCTTTTCTCTAGAGTTTCCTCTAAAGAAATACAGTAATGTGTTTTTTCCCATTTTCCCATTCATCTTCATGGGCTTCCATCTTGGTGAACAATAATTTTTGTTTGCCTGCAGTGACTGGATTCTCTTTATTAACAGTGACCAGTTTCTGTCCTGCTGCTGGCAATTCTGAATCCCTTTGCCTTAAATTAACACCACTGGACTTTCATAAGAGGTTTTTCATGCTGCTGCCTATGTGTACATCCTTGTTAATTGCTCCTCCCCTCTTACACCTTCCTGCTTCAATTTACATGTAAGTAAAGATACTGTCTGCACACCAGACCAAACACTTCTGTCAATTTTGATTCATGTGTGACTGTGAATCTCTGCTAGACAGAGCCTGATCCACTTACAGGGCAAGAGTGAAGAAGCTCAGCCTGTTTGGACATCTAAATGAAAGGTTAGGAGGTAACTTGGTTATGGTGAATGAGGAAAATATACTAATAGGTACGGATGGGGGCATAAGAGCTTCTAGCACCCAGTACAGGCAAAAGCTGCAGACACTTACAGGACAAATAAGATACCCCATTTTAACAAGGAGTACAGTTGTCAATAGCAGGAAACTGGGATGAAATATCAATTTAATTCCTATTGGGTGCAAGATCTTCTTAGGTTTGCTGCCTATAACTGGCATATGGTTATGTCAACAGATTTTGAATAAGGTAGCATATATTAATAGTATCTATGCATGCTAAAATCCCTTATCACCCCTGTCAGGTAGGATGTGTGTCCCGCTTGTTGAACTAAGGAGCTTTGTCATCCAAACAGTGAGGCGGATTGCTTTTTTACCTTGGCAGTTCTAGTGTTTAGTGGGTTGAGAACCTAAAATAGGGTGCTCTGCAGAGAGTTGTGGATGGGTGACAGCAATGTGAAAGGGTTTTCGCTCACTTCTCCCTTTTGCTAAAACTAGGGTTCTTGATTTGTCAAGAATCTATGACCACAGTTAAATATTAATTTATGTATCTTCATGGAGATGGAGGTTGGGGTGAGGACACCACTGGGGAAGTGTATCAGTTGTGCTTCCCTGATTATAACCTGCACAGACAAGAGATTTTGTAAGATGTTATTGTGATATTATGCTGGTGCTCTCTTTTGTTATCCTATAATTAATGTTTTTCTTTACACATCTATTCCTACAGGCCTTCTCATTATCAGTTGATTTTGTGTCCTAGAAATCAAAGAAGAGGATGTGTCTGGGAACTAAAACCTAGTACTCTGCTAGATTCAGAATACAATAGTCTGTCTCTTAAATTTGGCTGCCTGAAATCATTGGATTAGTATTTTGCTCTTTAACTGTTGCTCACATCTTTTTGATATGTTAAAACAGGGTTGCAATTAGGCCGTCTGACGTAACTAGCAGTGTCGAAAAGCAAATAAGCTCAGGTTTTATTTATCTATTTACTTGGTTTCTCTTCCACTGAAAAACAAAACTGGGAAGTCCGGGCTCTGTTTGGCCTGCAGAAAGTGGTCCAGTATAACACTTACCATCTCACCCATTCATCCTTTCCTTATGCCACGGGAACTCTTAAGCAAGTGAGTTGAAAATAATTCAACAGTTTGTGAGAGATTATCTATATAGAGCTCGTAGCGAACAAGGCACTCTGGAGGCATTCTCTCAAAACACTGTAGATTCTTGTGACTCCAAAAGCACAGGCTCTCAAGCTAGGGCTGTGTGTCCTGCATTTTAACATGCAAGACTCTGCAAGAAATAAACATTCATTCTAGTGCTGATTAAAAGAGTGGTCCATAATTTTGGTAACAGATGTTGCACTTGTATCGGTCAGACGAAGAGTAGGAGGACCCCACTTCAGATTCTGACTGCGCAGGCATTTGTCCTGGGTTGATACAATCCTCTCTATACTATATCCTGACATTAAAATAGCTGACACTGTTTACACAGAAATGGTTAATTATCCCAGGAAGGTGTGTTTCAAGGGTCCGTACTTCACACAGCCACACTTCTTCCTCACCCTTCTCTGCCATCATTAACACCCTGTTACCTTCCCTTTTGGCATTCAAATAATTTTTTAAAATATTTCACGAGCCCTTGCCTACTGCACTCAAAGAAGAGCAAAGAATACATCAAATGGTGGAGGGAATTAAAAAGTCACCACATTCTTGTAGATTTGGTGGAAAGTGGTTTTTTTTGGGGGGGGGGGTATATTTGCCTTTATTTGCTTGATTCCTTTTCTTGGTTTTTGGGAGAGATGACTGTGTTTAGAATTTTGCCTCCCCCCTCCCCCTTTATATGTGGCTGGATGGGCAGGTGCTTCTCCTGTTTGATTGAGTTTTAAACATTGCTATTTTGTTAATTTATTATGTATTTGTTCTATTAAAGAGTATATTTTGGTGCAGGTTTTCTGAGGGACTGTTTTGCTTGCTTCTGTGGGGTGGTGTCAGCAAGGGAGGTGCTTGTGCTAGTGTGCCACTGGGCTATGTGTGTTGCTGTTGATGGTGGTGGTGGTTGAGCACAGCCTAAGACATTAATCTCCTGATGTTCTTGATGTTTTATTGTTATTTGCCTTGGTGAATGGGCATCTCTTTGTACCAAACAGCCAGTGCCTGCTTCCTTGCCTTTTTTCTATTTTGTTGTCCAGGCTCAGAGGGTCTCTATTGTGCTGGGTAGGTGGCATTGAACTGTTATTTTCTATTTTCTAGTTTTTGAATATTTTCTGCTTTTTGAATTGATTGATGGGTGGGTTAGGGTTTTTCTGCTCTATGTGTTGGACTGGGGGGTGTATCTTGGTTGGAGGAACATGATTGTATAGCCTGTGTGGGTGGTGTGCTCTAGTTGTGGCATTCATTGAGGTTGAGCAGCGCAAGAAGCTTTATCTGCTTTTATGAAGTGGTGTGGAGACTAAAGGTTTGGAGGGAGGAAGTAGATTGATTCTCTGTTGCCTTGGTGCTGCTTTTTGGACTCATCTCTACAGGTTGTTTGGGCTTTTGGAATGCCAGAAAACACAAATGAGAAGTGTGAAAGATGCATTCCTTTTCATGTACAGTAATGCAAAAGGACCAGTACCTGAAAATATGAAAAGAAATACCAAGATTTTCACCATGCACATCTCTAAACAGGACAGCCAGACAATACTTAGATAATGACCAGTCTTTACATTAACTGTATTTATTTTGTATTTTATTTTATTTATTACATGCTTACACTGCCCATTAACTAGCACTTCCTAGGCAGTGTACTTGGAAAAGACCTTGATGTTGGGAAAGTGTGAGGGCGAGAGGAGAAGGGGAAGACAGAGGATGAGATGGTTGGACAGTGTCATCGAAGCGACCAACATGAATTTGACCCAATTCCGGGAGGCAGTGGAAGACAGGAGGGCCTGGCATGCTCTGGCCCATGGGGTCACGAAGAGTCGGACACGACTAAACGACTAAACAACAGGCAATGTACAGATGAATTTTAAAATGCACAGAATATCTGTACATGATAATGAATAAAAGCAGTTCATCCACATTCATATGAACCCAGAGCAATTATAGTTAATTATATTTTAGCTGATGTATGTGGCATTTTATTCTTATGCCTGCCCCATGAACAAATGGACATCATTCCCCTAGGCTAGAATCACTTATTTCCTCTGTTCTAAGCCTTTGAAGTGATTTTTTTTAAAAAATGGACAAATGTTTCTCTATTTTTTCCAGATAAAGCACCACTAAAGAGACTACAAATTTCATCTCTGCCGTGTGACTTCCTGCTTTTCTGAAAGCTGTGTGTGAGGGAAGAAGGATAAGTGCTCCCATCAGAGTGCAAAAATGAACTCGACTGAGATTCCCATCCAAACAGAGATGGTAGAACTGGTGCCAAATGGAAAACATTCCGCGTTGAATGCTTCCTCCATCCCTTCGGTGGGAAATGACAGGTGAGCTGACATGGATGTGCACACCCTGTACTATTTGAACAAAGTCCTCACTAAACAAGATGCTGATTTTGTATCTAGAAGCAGGGCATGGTTGAGATGATAATACTGTTTATATAGTCTAATAGGAATCATTCTCAATCTTCATTTGGCAATTTAACTTGCTTTTGTTTTCTTTTTGGTCAGCTGGGAGATAACAGAGCTTTATATGCATTTCTGGTGTCTCAGCCACAGAGAACTGAAAGATTTGTATGTCTGATAGGATAACATTTACCTTAGTGTGTGATGTGAGCTTTAAAGCTGAATTGTTGGATTTTCTTCATCCACGATTCTCTTCCTCTTCAAGACAATAGGGATTTCACAGCCACGTCTACATCTTAGGCTGCAAACACTTTTCCAGTGTTCCCTATGCAAATCTGCATTGCTGTTCACCAATGTTAGAGTCCTCCTCCAAACCCTAATTGTTTGAATGAACTCTCAGGCCATGGTCATACCAATGGAATGTTCTCCAATTCTTCGCCTTTGAGTCTGCAGTTTAATTTGCAGTCATGTGACACACGGCCATTAACAAACCATTTACCTGGCAAGCATGCTAGCTGGAGATCATTTCTTGCTTGGCCAGAGGCTTCTACTTTTTTTGTTGCTCATCTTTTAATAAAAATATTGCATTGCTGCGTGTGTGTGAACGACCTTATTGTTCATGTCCTTTTGTAACCCCAAAACACATTGGGATGCAGATCCTGGAATAAATACTATGTGACCTCAAAGGACAACAGGAACATGATTTAAAGTCACATAATCACAGGGGGACCATTTTGCTGGTGTGACCACAGCCTCATTTCCCTGACATTTGAAAATCGTTCAACATGTTCAAAACACTATCAGTTGCTCCTGCCCATTCGTACAACTACATTTAGAAACCAATGTAATGGGTATGCCCAACATTGGGCAGTCTAAATTCCAAATATTTGGACTGCTACATGCATAATCCTCCCTCCCTCCCTACTGGAGCACAATTTGAGATTATAGACATGTATGAAATATAGGTAAAATTAAAAACAAATTAAATTGTTAAGATAATTAGACTGTTTTGACTAGAAGTGGGCTACTTCAATAGTGTTATCTTCACCACTTGCTAGATCTTCTTTTGTACACATGGTGGGGCATGAATTACATGCACATAAGTGCTGTATTGATTGAATTTCTCTCCAGTCACAGAAAATTTGTTCTGTATCCAGGTAGTCCCATTTTACCTGATTAATCTTCTTACTTAAAAGTCTGTTAAATGACTTCCAGATTATTATTAAATCACTTCCAGAGGTGTTGCACTGTATAATATAGTGGTTAAACAGGAGGACAAATGGAGAATAAGCAGTGAGCCTGGATAGTTGGGACCCTGATGTAGACTAAGTCCAAAAAGCTTCTATTATAAGTCCAAGAACATGGAGGAATCCAGTATTTGGCTTGCATTCATGGCTGGCTGCCTGAACATTCTCCTTCTTGACTGCAGCTAGTTATGAAACTGTCAGGAAGTTTTAATGATTATGATAATGTATCTTCCGAGCAGTCAAAAGCTCATTGTATCCTTGTGAAAATGTGACCCTCCACCCCCCAAATAGTGCATTTCTTGTTGTTGTCTGAAATACATGAGAAGCATAGGTCAGGGTCACAGTGGAAGTCTGTGGGACGTGATTATTCAGGAGTGACATAATTTATGCTTGCAATATTTCATCAGTTTATTTCATTATATGTTAATTCTTTCCATTTGTGTAAATGTTGTGCTGTACAGCTTTAACTCAGGAGTCCAGATGTAGACAGTTTTGAATTGAAGACTATAGAAGGTTAACTGCAAGCCTACGATGAACCCATCTTCCCTTCAGTGTTTGTTTTTCTATCATATTTGAGGTTGTTTACAATTTGTCTGTCTGTCTGTCCTACCACTGTACCAGAACTGGGACTCGGGGGGGGGTCATAAGATTTAAAACAGATACAATTAAAGAGGTGTGAACAAAAACAAATCAAAAGCTTTACTGGCAAAATGCAACTAACAAGTTATAATATCAAGGCATTATGGGATTAAAAAGCAATCTCAAAACACGTCAGTAAAAAAACCATAGCACCAACCCATTAAATGCCCCTTTCTCAGCAGACAGTGAGTCACTAAAAACCTGCTTAAATAAAAAGGGTTTTGTACATAGCACTCAGTCACTGAATGTGGTTGCATGCAGAAAAAGCTGAACAGTATTCGGGTTATATTTTAACTGACCATGTGGGAAGATTGTAATATTTATCTGGTTTGGCTAAACAAGCTGCCATCAGATATGGAAGAGGTGATTCTGGAGATCTGTGAAGTCATTAGTTGCTAAACCAGAACTGTATTACAGGGAATTTTTCAGGAGGAAGACGATAATTTTAAGATAGTTTGTCCTTGTTCCAGGTTTGATGACAACCAACCAGAGATGGAGGAGTTCCTTCCACATGGTGCTGAAAAGAAGCAGACCCACTTTACGGATGTAAGTGCATAGGTATCTGCAGTGTGGGTGTTTATCCAGAAATCTCTGTGCACTACAGAGGCTCAGGACTCTTGATTACTATAGCTGAGAGAGGTACAAAGCCAGTGCATCTCATATGGCTAGGTCAACAATCATGTAAGCCCATTCAGAAAGTAACTTGACATCTGTTGTTACCATCCAGTTTGAGAATACACAGGTTCTAACTCAAGCCTTGCTTTGTTAGACACCCATTTGGCCTTGCTGTCTTCAAAGTGAAGGGGATTAAATGGAAGGAAGAGTGACCATGGCTATGACAGTGGAGTTTGCCTGCAGGCCATGGAAGGTGAATGGATGAAAGCAGGAGTGGGTTCTTTCTGAAGTGGCCTCTTGCAAATCAGTTTGTAAATCAGGATTCTAGGATCTGTCCCTAGAATTTATTCTGGATTCAAGGTAGAAATAGGATTCAAGAACAGAATTTACTGTTCATGGGAGTTTCTCCTCTTTTGCAAAAGCTCATGGTAAAGAGCATATAGGCAAGGAAGGGTGGAAGGGGCAGAACTTGGAAACTTTATTTTTTTCAGCCTACAGCTCTTAAAAATCTCCACCCACCATGATTTTTGGGAGTTGTGGGCTGAAAGAAGAAAGATTATGAAGCTGCAGAAAGATGGCTGAGCTAAAGGGTACCTAAGCAGCACCCATTATCTTCCCTGTGGGCTTGTAGGTGAGGAGACTGGGTTAAGCAAAGAAGAAGAAGCTTCCCTATGCAGTTGAGTATGCTGATTCACACATCGTCTCTTTTTTTTCCCTTCCAGTTTGAAGGAAAGACCTCCTTTGGGATGTCCGTTTTCAATCTCAGCAATGCCATCATGGGCAGCGGGATCCTTGGTCTAGCGTATGCTATGGCCAATACTGGTATTCTCCTTTTTCTGTAAGTCCTACTCCCTTCGTCAAAAGAACTAAGAATGTATGCATGCAGTTCCCCTTGAATAGGACAAGTAGCTGGGGCAGTCCTCTCTTGGTCCCACTTTAAAGCTTCCATTTCCAGATTATTTGGAACACAGCATATTGGCCCGTAAAACTTATCCTAACATTACTGCTGTGACACCACTACAGTGCTATTTCAGATAAACATTTCACCATCCATCCATTTCCTCCTGACCCATTTATTTCAATCTCTTTTGTCTTGTCTTGTAATTGGAATTTTCCCCCTTTTGTTTAAGCTGGCATTACACATGCTGATGACAGCATAAATACCCTTGTGATGGGGACAACCTGTGTAGAAGATGGCTTTATATAATATAGACACCATGTGGAGAAGCACCACATGGAATATCTTTTGAGGTCTACATGTGAGTCATTAAGATTCTATTCGGCCCTTAAGCGACAGATTCAAAAATGTTCCATCTGATGAAGATACTCTGCTTCCAAGCTGGCCTTTTCATTAGGGAGTGCAAAGTAGTCGTCTCAGACAGCAGATTTTTGAATGTCTCCCGGGCAAAGACCCAGCTGAAATTACCTGAAACATTTGTGGCTTAGGGGGTCATGTGCCCGTGTGGCCTTGGACAAGTTGCCTGGTCCTGGAGTGACATCCAGAGTAGAGGCCACTTCTGAATACTATATATCTCAGAAACCCTGGAAGGGTTGTTGTAAGTTAGAACCCACTTGCTAGTTCATCATTGTTTGTATATGTGCGTGTCTTGAGACTGACTTATAGCAAGCGTAATAAGGCTTTCAAGGTAAGTGAGATATTTAAGGCTCTACAAGTTCTACTCGCCCAGTGAGTTTCCAAGGCTAAGTGGGGATTCGAACCCTGGTCTCCAAAGTCCTCACTCATTGCTCTATCCACTACAGCACAATGGGTACCCCAGCACATAATTACTATTAATTTATTCCTAGTATTGTTATTTTCTGCCAAGGACACAAAGAGCAGTACTCTTAGAATTTTCTTCCTTTTGCCAAAATAATGTGGATGCCATTGTGTACTCGTGGCATGGGGCTCTTGCCAAAGCGCAGTGGTGAGCACCTGCTTTGCACAGAGAAGGCCACAAGTTCAATCCCCAGCATTTCCAAATAGGCCTCAGAAAGATCTCTGCTCAAACCACAGAGAGAGCTCCTGTCAGTCAGTGCAGACAAGACTGAGCCTAATGTTTCAGTGGTCTGACTCACTGTTTTGGTAGTTTTCTATGTTTGTACCCCTCGGCGTGCTGTAATTTTTAAGTGGGGAGGGGGTCCATTTTCTGCCCCACCTCACACAGAAAAATCACTTGGGTCAGCTCGGCTTCTTTTCCTTGAAACTATAACAACTTGCCTTTCCAAGGAGAGGTTCTTATTGCTACTTGTAATCTATGAATAAAAAACACTATTATCTCAAAGGCAAATTGAATTGCTAGTAGGTTGCCCCTCAGAAAAAGAAGAAGAAGAAGAAAACCCAAGTAACCATCTTCTTTCCACTGATATCCCAAATCCATAAATCTTGGTTTCTTTTTCCATGAATGAGCCAAGTGGCATATGTGCTCTCTTTTTGCAGTTCCCCTCTCCTCACATTTGACTTCAGCACTGAGATTGTGCAGAATAATTTCTACTCTATTTTAAGACTGAAAATCTTTAAAATGATTTGAACAGTGCTAATGTTTTTTTTAAATCTCTGACTTTTCTTTCTATAATGAAAGACAGAACATTTGGATATTCTGAAAATGGCAAAAAACTGAAAGTATTGAACTTTGGAGTTTGATGGCTTCTTTGTAGTAAAACAGAAGGATACCCATTTGTATTGTCCTGCTACCTAGCAGTTCCTGTCACAGCTCTGTTGTGTCAGACATCATTTATATGTACACACACACACACACACACACACACACACACACACACACACACACAGAGAGAGAGAGAGAGAGAGAGAGAGAGAGAAAGAGAGAGAGAGAGAGAGAGTTCACATCTCACATGGCTTGTGCTCCCACACTCTATCCTTGTGTCTGACCTTTAATTTTATGTTGGATAAAATTAACTTGATGTGCCATCTTGTGTTTCCTGCCATAACAAGAAGAACTGCAGACTAAAGATCAGGATGTGGTCCGTCTCACTCAAGTCATGGGCTCCGAACTTACATTTATTGAGAGAAAAGTTGGTTGGAGTGTTTGTGAATGATTTCATAACTGAGCTGAGGTCAGCTTCTCAGGCAGAGAACAGCCGGGAAGGAAGACACAAAGGAAGCTTGTTTGGTCTGTACTGAGTAGGTAGTGACAGGTGGGCTGAGGCAGGTTGGGGTCCTCTTACTGGGGCAAGCAGGACTGTAGCCCTTTGATGATTTGGGGAGGGAAAGTCAAGGCTGAATCAATCAGGCTCCCTGACGTAGGCTGCTGTGGTCATTCCCGTGCTCCTTCCTTTCTTCCTTCTCCTGAAAGTTAGGAGAGGCCAGGGTTTGGAGAACAACATAAAATATGCCTCTTTGACAAAGAGAACTAAGATACTTTGTAGAGAAGGGAGCACGGCACAGACTCCATAGGGGAACATTGGTTGCGGGCCCTAAGACCTTGGCTTAAGGCACAAAGTGTAGCTTGTTGATAAGAAATAAAGGTCTAATGGGAGCAGTGTTAGTTCTAGGACTACCAATGAAAGGCAAGGTGTCCATACATTGGAAAAAAGAGCAGGAAGACCGATACAGATGAAAAGGCAGAGGGTTGTCAACTTTCTCTGGGACTGGACAGCACAATATCTCTTGTTTTTGCATCCTATACTTCTGCATCATACAAGTGATCCCTATACAAAGACATGGGCTCCTTCTCAGGCAGGAGGTAAACTCATGGTGACATGCCTTGGTGAGAGCTTTGCTCTGGCACTTGTTTGGCATCCATACGGTGTTGCTGTCTGGGACCTGCTAAGTTCAGGGCTAGACAGCAGGGCCAGTTTCTCCTAACCATCCATGAGGTCTCCTGCTGGGTCAATGAAACATTTCATTCTTTTATTTGGTGACTTGAGAATACTGGTGCCATCTTATAGATGTTTATTTTTTTCTTTCCTTTGGAATTGATTCTCAGTACCCACCAGACCCTATTGCATTCCAGCATTGAGCACTATTATCAGCATTGCAGTCAAAGCAGTAGCAGGTATGGCAATGGCCTCCAATAGGGACTGAGAGAGAATAAGACCGTGCTCCCTCACACACCACTTTTTTTCTCCAAGAATCTTTGGCGAAAGAGAAAGAAAGCTCCATAGTTGTTAGAAAGAGAGATCAATCAATGATGGAATATCAAGAGCTCTGTCTCTCTATCTTTGTTAGGCTGCAACTACACTGGCAAACTGAGTTGGAGCCATTCACTGTGGCTTGATTCACAGGCTATTTTATGCTTCTGTTGCAAATTTGGTAATTACATGGAGACTGGATTGTTTCAATCCCAGTGTTTACACTGGCCACTCAAACTGATGCAGTTTGATCTGTGCCATAGCCCACAGGCTCCCTTCGCCTTCTGCCAATCCCTGGCTCTCTTTTTATGGCTCATTGTAAAATTAGTGAGTTGTTTTCAGGTGTTTCATGGTGCTAGGGAAAAGGGACAGTTTGGCAAAGTCCCCCATAATGTACAAACACATACACACATACTGTGGAAACATACCAGTCTGCTGTAGTTTGTCAGACTAGTTGTTTCTATTTCATATTGATTATTTTTTCTTTTCTGTGTCCATACGGAGGTGATCTAGCACTAAGCTAGTATATCAATGTAATGATAAAGTGATCTAGCGCTAAGCCCAGTAATTTTTTTAAAAAAATTAAAAATACTTTGGGCCAAGTAAGAGGTGATCTAGCACTAAGCTAGCATATCAATGTAATGATAAAGTGATCTAGCACTAAGCCCAGTAATTTTTTTAAAAAAAATTAAAAATACTTTGGGCCAAGTAGGGAGAAACGTCATGGAGTTGGGTAGAGTTCCTGCTGTTTAAAATATCACATCCAGTTTAGTATGTCATCAGAATACTGCTCATAGCCAGGCTCCCCTTCCTCATGGAGAACAAAACAAAGGGAAATATCTGTTCTAATTGTTCTGGATTGAAAAAGGTAGAAACCACTAGCAGCAGCAGCAGAGAGAGAAAAAGCCCTCCATATTGGGAGCAAAAAAGGGCCAGACTGATTTGAATTGGCCAGTAGAAACCACTAGCAGCAGCAGCAGCAGCAGAGAGAGAGAAAGCCCTCCACATTGGGAGCAAAAAAGGTCCAGACTGATTTGAATTGGCCTTTGTCCCATGTGATCAGTAAAAAGAAAAAAAGAAAAAGAAAAGCTAATTCATCTGTTTCGCTCCCACAGCAGATCCCATAGTATATGACCATGTAGTTACATCCTTAGTCATGTATTGTATCATTCCTGCTGCATCTTCTCTCATCTCTGCTGTGTCTCTTGTGGAGAAAGGTAGGGCAGAAATATTTTGAATAAATAAATAATACATGGAGAAAAGTGACTTTTCCGAGGTGACAAATCACAGATAGCATCTGACTCCAAACATCACCTCTCTGTAATGTCTCCTTCAAAAAGTTATAAATTCTTTCCTTCAAAAAGCTGCATGAAATATTTTAAATAGTAATAAACATGACAAGCCCCTGTGTTATGACAAATCCAAACATCACAATGTTACTGCAGGTTTATTAATCATAGAGTTAACTTGTATGGACTTCAGTCCCACAAGGTCTGGTAATGGCCACAGGCCTGGATGGCTTTGAAAAATTATGAGTTAAATTCATGTAGTTACATCATCAGCCATTAGTCAGACCATGAAAGTAACACACAAATTTCTCGTAACCTGGTACTTATGAAAATGAAGGCATAGCTTTTTTTAAAAAAAGTAGGATGTAATAACAAATGGCATTGTTCGTTCCTTAAACATGTGCAAGCAATGTTTACTTTTTAGTCCTAAAATGTTGCTTTAGAGGAGTTTTGGCCATTT